CAGAAGAAGGGTGAGCTGATGGTGGGGCAGGAGGAAGGTAAAAGGAGACAGAGGAAAGAGCTAGGAAGCGAAGCTATGGATATAGGTATAAACATAGGTGTGCACACAGGTGTATACATATGTAAATACATTAATTCATAACAATAGAGGTATTGGCCTGTGTACATAAATTTATATGTGGGCTTCTGCTCAAGCCCTGCCTCAATGAAAGAACACTTTATTTTAATAAGCTGGCATTCTGTGACACTCACCCTCCCAGCATGATCACTGAAGACAAAATGGGTGCACGAGCAAATGTTGTGAAGAAGGCTGATGGTGCCCAGCTACCAAAAGATATAGCATCAGGGGTCTTAAAGGATTGAAGTTTAAAAAAGGTGGCCATCTAGTAGGGAAGCCACAAGCCCACATGGAAGAAGCTCACCAGCTTGTGTGATCATGAGGTGTTGACCGGATCGATATCAGAAGGCATCAGAAGACCCAACACAAACAACAACATATTGTTGAGAAAGAGGGAAGTCGGAACAGAGACCCAAAACCCATCTGTAGGCAGTAGGACATCTCCTCACAGAAGGGTTATAAGGAAAGGATGAGTCAACCAGGCTGCAGCTCAGCACCGATGAAACACAGTATTCCTCTGGTTCCTTGAGGCTTCCTCACCCACCACTGTCATGACCCCAGTCCTTTCAGTTCTGGCTAGATGGGAGCATGTACACTGGTACAGAAAAGAGCTCACGGCACACGGAATCCAGGTCGGCTAAGCTCTTCAGGAACAGAAATGGGAGTAGTGATACCAGAGGGTTAGGGGAGGATGGGGAGAGAAGGGGAGGAAGGGGGAACCGATCACAATGATCAACGCATAACCCCACACACACACACCCCGGGGGGACAAACAATGGGGAAGTGAGACAGCAATCAGTGTAAGATATGAAGATGATAATATCTTATCATTTATCAAGGGGTCACAAGGGGGTGGGGTGGGGGAAGAGGACCTGATACCAAGGGCTCAAATAGAAAGTAAAGATCTATAAAATAATGATGGCGACATATGTACAAATATGCTTGATACAATTGATGTATAGATTGTTATAAGAGCTATAAGAGCCCCCAATAAAATGATTTTTAAAAATAAAATAAAGAGATCTTGTGCAGCAAAAAAAGAAAATATGTTTAATACTGACAGAAAAATATTTTTTTAAACTTGAAGCACCTATTAATCTTTTTCCTACTTAAAAAGGGAGATCTTCAACTCTTTTCTTTACAATAGTGAGCAATCAACTTGAAGAATTTTAAATTGGGGAATGAATTGCTTCATTAGTATTAACCTAACTTTACAAATCTAATTAAAAGCAAATTATATAGTTAGCTAATCGCAACTAAATGAGAGACTAGCCAGGGTAAAAATATTAAAAAGCCAAAAGCCAAACTCACTGCCATCGAGTCAATGCCAGCTCACAGGAGCCTATGGGACAGGGCAGACTTGCCCCAGCGAGTTTCTGAGACTGTAACTCTTCCAGGGAGTAGAAAGCATCTCCCAGGGAGATGCTGGTGGTTTTAAACTGCTGACCTTGAGGTTACTAGCCCAACTCATAGCCACTATGCCACCAGGGCTCCTAAAAAAATGAAGTGCCCGTGATATGTATTCATATGTGTGTGTATACACACACACACACACACACACACTGTCCTTGTTAGGTGCCACGGGGTCGCTGTGATTGTAGCCTCCCTATGTACAACAGAGCGGGCTGTTGCCTGTCTTGCATCACCCGCTTGTTTGAGCCCCTTGTTGCCGCCCCTGCATCAATCCGTCTCCGTGGTGCCCGTCCTCTTTTTCACGGCCCCTCCATACAACATTTAGGGAAGTAAGAGCAGAAAATAAATTAAAGTCCTTTTTTAACACAACAGCAAAATGTTAGTGAGCCATAGCATGAGTTCATGGCAATGTGGTGGAGAAATGTTTCCTCAGGCTACACCCAAGACTGCTTTTATAATGCGTGCCTGCCGACTGAACATTTATCGTAGCTGACACACAAGCCTTTCATTTTCAATATCGCTTCACGCACACTTGACTGAGATCAAGTGTGACAATGCTCAGACTGTAATTCTCACTTCCGAGGCTCACACTGCCCCTAGCACACAAGCACACCTAAATAAATGCCCCAAGGCCCAGCTGAAGACACATGTTCGACGTTCAAGTCATTGCATGATCGGAGCGCAGGGGATGTGGTGGCACGGGAGAGACAGGGGACCTGCATCCCCGGGGGTCTGCCCTAGAGCTAATGAAGGCTATTGCTGCTCACTTCATGCTATGGTTTGGGGAGAGGAGACGATTCAGAATCGGAAATACAGATGCAGCCCCAGAGAAGCCAAAGGACGGTGATGTAGCCTTCAACACAGAACACGGAAGCATAAATGTACTTATTTCCCTTCAAGGAAAAGGTGAGCTTATTGGGTTTTCATGATATTTAGTATCCTGTCCAAGAAGAGGTGAAACCTAAACATTCGAAAAAAGTGTTATGAGTGTAACCTCTCTCTGTAGATAATGATAAGAAATCAAAAGGCATATTCAATAGTGAAGCGAGCACGGGGTCACGTGGAAGACTGAGGTGCACCTGACGGAAGCCACGGGTCTTCAATCACCTCATCCGCACGTACTGGCTGGAAGTAAATAGGAAGACTGAAGAAAGTTGGGGGCAGATGAATTAGGGTGTCGGTGAAGAATATTGAATATATATATATATCATGGACTGCCAGAAAAACAAACCAACCTGGCTTGGCAGTAGAGCCCGTCAGAATGCTCCATGGAATGGAAGTGGCGAGGCTGTGCCTCACTTTGGCCATGCTGTCTGTCAGCAGGGACCAGTCTCAGGAGAAGAACAGGTGGTTGTTGGAAGGTGCCACCACGGCAGTTCCAGCTCTGTGGGCCCATGCACAATAGACTAAATCACCAGTTAACCCTGCTGTCCCTACTGCCCCGTCTGGCACGTAACCACGCATGATGCCCTCCTTCGAGACTGAAGAAAGACATATTAACACCCTGAAAAATGCAGACAACACAACCTAGCTGAAAGTGAAGAGGACTTGAAGCACTTACCTGATGAGGATCAAAAACTACAGCCTGTCGTGGGGATTAATCTCCAACATAAAGTGCTTGATCAAGTGAAGCGTGAACCAAAGAGAAAGGCCCCCCACAGGGGCTCAACGCAACAAAGGCTCAAACACAGCCTGACCGTGAAGATAATCAGGAACGCGGCATCGCGGCATTCTGTTGCACACCGGGTCACTCTAAGTCCGGACAAACATAAGGGCACCAACAACAGCATTCATAGAAAGGTCCCAGGGTAGCATAAGTGCTTTGCACTTGACTGCCAACCTGAAAGTTGGCAGTTCAAACCCACCCAGACATGCCATCGAAGAAAGGCCTGGCCAACTGTCTCTGTGAAGATTACAGACAAGAAAAGTCTAGGAAGCTGCTCTATTCTATTAACACATGGCATGGTGATGGGTTGGAGCCAATTTCATGGCAACAGATTTGGTTTAATTTGTACAGACAGAAGAGGATTCCTTAAGCTATAAATTACTCCACCAGAGACCCATAAACCACCAGTAACTATGTTAGAGGTACAAAAGAAGAAAAAAAGTCATCAACATATTATATAAGCTATAATACTGTACATCAAAGGAATTTCCACTTTATACTATTTCTTTAAAAGGACAGGGTAGAACTGTGAGTTTTCGAAACTATAACTCTTTATCGGAGTAGAAAGCTCTACCTTCTCCTGAGGAACTGCTGGTGGTTTTGAACTGTTGACCTTGGGTTAGCAACCCAATGCATAACCACACCACCACCAGGGCTCCTGTACTCATGTTTAGAGAACATATAAATTGTACCTGTACATACGCTCTTCACAGAGGGAACCTGCATTTTGCCAACAGTTTGCCTTCCTTTTTATGAAAAATACTAAAGAAGCAAGGTACCTATATACCAGCTATCTAAAAAGAAGTCCTTTGATGCATCTTAAAATTGCTCTATATTAATGGTTATAATATTTAAGAGTAAAATTTTGACCATCCCATAGGATCAGAACATTTTTTTAAATTTATCATTGTTAGATTTAATTTTTAACTACCTGTAATTAACAGAAGTTACATTCAAGTTTTAAAACATGGAATTTTACGTCATGTCTATTACATATAATTGATTAAATTCTAGTTTATACAGATACATGGATTCCAAATATATTTTTTCAGCTTGTTGGTTTATCTAGGTTCAAAAAGACAACCAAACATACAAAGGATCTAAAATTGCTATTTTACCAACAGGTGGGCAAAAAAGATAAGGAGTCCTGGTGGTGTCCTGAGTTTGGCTCTGAGTTACTAACTGAATGCTGAGCTTCAAACACACCAGCTGCTCTGTGGGAGAAGAAATCCCAGGGAGTGAGGTCTACTCTATCCTATAGGGTCCCTATGAATCAGAATCAACTCAATGGCACTGGATTTGTTGTGGGCATATAGAAAAATAATGTCCTATATGAAATTGAAAGTGCTTTACTGCCTAAGGTTTGTTACAGTGACCCTCTCTAAGCTCCTTTCTGTGATCCCGAGGAAGCCTCCGAGCAAGACGCCTCTCAGTGCACCAAGCTGCTGAACCAGGGAGCACGTGATTAAGCAGGGAAACATAATTTATGAGTTTTGACAGAAATCTCTACCTTCACCTGGCTGCTAAATCATAAATGCATCTTAAAAGGCAGTCTATATTTACCTAATTCTAATAGTCCAAAATTCCAAAATATTAGAGTCATCTGTATGTCTCAAAATTTAGCAAAATCCAAACAGTCAAACTAATACAGATCTACACTAAGTGATTGTTTTGGTTAATTACAAAACAAGTCTTGAGTTGGTCTTGATAAAATTAAGAATGCACGCTTAGACTTGTGTTCCCCCTTAAATCATTATACCCAAGCTCGTCTGCTTGTTAAGAGACTGCGAAGCATGGTACTCACCAGGATAAAGTAGTATGCGTACAGCACTGTACAATGATGAATGACAAATATTTTGTCACCGATCACTCTCCAATACAAAATGATAAGCAACAAATCTATAAGAAGAAAAAATTAGTACGGTATGATTAAGGAAGAAAGCCTCATTGTTACCAAATGTATTGACTTTCTTCTGACAATTCACCACTGTCAGTCCACAGCAGTTTGTTCAGACCACAGCTAGTCCAATAACCCACTTTATTGTAAATGATCTGCTTTGACAGAACTGCCTCCCCTCACTTTGGGCGTGAGGGGCACTGATGATCCCGTGGTAGGTCCTTGCCTTCTATTTGAGAGATCCAAGTAGATCATCAGTCAGTAAGCCCATGTTCATCTATCAACTGCCTGTCAGTGGAGGCATCGTTAGGAGGCGGAACAGGTTTCAGACTGAGAGGGACTAGGAAGAAAGACCTGGCAACCTGCTTCTAAAACAGCAGCAGTGCACACCCCATGCACCACATTGGGCTCCCGCTGTTGATCAGTGAATAAATGAACAGCGTGCTTCTAAGGTAAATAAAATGAAAATGGTATCAAATTCTAAAAGCTTAAATGATTGATTTCCATTATTACATTGATTCTTAGATAAGATGGTGGTAGATAAAGCAAATTCAACAAACAGAAAATGAGTGACAAATTAATTATTAGTCTAAAATGGCAAAACCACAAAGAACTGTGATGAATAAAAATACATGGCAAGAAGTCAGGGTATCCATTTTCTTTGGTCTTGAATCTAAAACCACGATTTAGGAAATAGTTTCTTTTAACACGAGCAAAAACTCTTAAAAAGTTGATGTAAGTTTTATTTTCTGTCTTTTTTTTTACCTCTTGGCTAAGCATGAAATTTAGACATGTATACAAATGTCTAACACAGCCAGACACCTGAGGGCATAGTGAGTTAAGTGTTGGGCTGCTAACCACAAGGTTGGTAGTTCAGACCCACCCTCTGCTCTGTGGGAAAAAGATGGGGCCATCTGCTTCTATAGGGAGTAGGTCTACTTGGCCCTAAGGCTCGCTCAGAGTTGGTATCCATTCAATGAGAATAGGTGTTTTGTTTTAAAGTTTTTAATAAGTTAGACCCTTCTCTTATAAAAATAAAAAGTACAATACGAAATTAGAGATTACTATTTAAAAAGAGAAAAGAAATTCTCAAATTATAAATTTTGCCATAAACACCACAAATTAAAAAACAAACAAACCAGGAAAGCACTGTGCCACTCTTCATGAGCTGTCAGAAATCCTTCTTGGTGGACATTTCCCTACAAACCCGGACCGCACACTCCGCGGTCGTTTGTTTTATGACAGTGGTTTTACAATATTTTCTGTGGGGAGATAAAATGAATTGGCCTTTCGCTCAGCTTTTTAATGTTCGAGTGTTTGGAAAAAAATTATTTCAAATTCATAGCTCTTATTTGCAAATTTTTTGGATCACCTTGTGGCATTTCTTCCATATGAGACTGTGAAGTAGCCTGGATATTACCTCTCTCTGAATGGACCCCATTCATAATTTCCCATGTGATGTATTACGAATTTCAAGTTATCCTTGGAAAGGAAAGCACATTAGGTCAAACTAGAAAATCGTTTCCAATGTATTCATGTGACACACTTGTCCTAAAAGGATTAAGTAATTCACCGACCTATTAACATCTCTACTCAAAATTTCTCTCTTCCACTTCACGAATTACTGCATTTTGTTATGATTTATTTTTGTACAATTTACTTTCCATTGGCAAAAAAGTTTGTTGCCACTATTATTTCTCATTTTTGGTTCATTTCATATTTTATTCTTTTTAAATTTTCTATCTTTAAATAAATGTATAATCTACTAAATAAAGTTTCTATATAACTACCTAAATCAGGAAATCCATTCTGTCTCTTGTTTTATTGAGGTGGTCCAAACATTTCTTTTTCCATTAAAATTACATATTCCTAAATCAACTTCTCCTTTAGCTAATTGTATAAATGCCTTTGGCCACTACAACTCCACCAAACACGAGGGAGCTGTGGAGCAGAAAAGGTCTGGATGTAACTGGTCTTGGCTGAAGCAGTTTTCTTTTGCAGATTTTAACCAAGCTATCAAAAGGGCACAAATCAAGGGCCCTTCCAAGGGAGGAACGTAGACTTCTTTGGCTTTACAGTAATTATACCTGAGAGACTCTTCAGACCCAAGTATCAAGTCATGGAGTTTATTGATTCCACTCATGGCAACTCCGTGTGCTACAGAGTAGAAAAGAGCTCCACAGCACTGTTGGAATCTTTATGGAGATAAATTGCCAGGCCTTTCTTCCACGGCACCACAGTGTGGGCTTCACCACCCCCCTTTTGGTTAGCAGCCGAGAACAGCATAGGACCATCACTAGCAAGCAATGTCTAGAGTCTGTCATGTGAGACTCCAGTCTGCAGCTGAGAAAGAGCCAACAGGAAGAATGTCTCATGTTCAACTACCAGCTCTTCTTCTCTGTGTATGGACTCTAAAGGCTATATCCTCCAGTAAATAAACTAAAAGCATACAGCACATCATCTTTGTACACATCATAAGCATTTTAAAAAGAAAAACACAAATCACATACCAGAAATGAGGTAGCCTGAAGCAACAGAAATATTCACATTCACAAGTGATGAATCACCCCTGCAAATATTTTTAAAAACCATAATTAGTTTCCTTTTCTTTTTCTTCAGCACACCGGTTATAAATGATGCCTACCTTTGCTTTTTGCTATTGAGATTTAAATATGAAAACATTTTCTGTAGTTTCACCAATAGTAAAGTTGCCAATTTCAAATATAAAGCACACAATAACAGTTATACAGAGTATCAGTACTGGCAGCAGAGGCTGCTCCCAGTCTCAGGTCTGCCCATGCCACACAGAGGAAATCTTGGAGTCTTCCTGTCCAATCACAGCGGTCATCTTCTATAGTTCCTATCTTCCCTGAAGTTTACTCTGGACGATACCCCGTCTCCCAAGTGCCCGTGATAATCAATCATCAACTCTCAAAGCTCAGACTAGACCGAAGAACGTAATCCTCTGAGAGCCTAAAAGTGAGTAAATAGTAAGGTCTCCTGAGAATGACTAAGAGCCCCTAACACATTTTGTACTAAGACCAAAATTTCAGAACTAATCCTAGAATCTCCACATTCAAGTTGGATGTGGGGCGGGGGAGTAAACTAAAGGTGATCTGGTTTTTTGGTTTTGTTTTTCACGCTTTCTAGAATTTGGGAGGCATTAACCATTCTACCAGTGGAATTTATGATGGCTTTGGAAGACATCGAATAGCCCACTCCCACCTATACTCCCACATATTTAGTCACCTGAGGAGTGTCTCATTAGAAATCTTGGATCCCAATCTAAGGCTGGCAATGCACAAAACATAAAATACTGTATTAACTATGCTAATACTTCTAACTACACAAATAACCAGTCTCTCCTAGACAGTAGCTACATGTTTTTACTAAGGTAAAATAACCAAAAGATACTTTTACACTCGTGTTCTCAAATTGCTGGTTTACAAGCAGATCCAAATGGAATTGCAGATGCTGATCTTAACACTTTATTCTAAACCAGAAACACAAATACTTCGAGAAATCATCTGATCCAGCCTCTGATTTTGCAGCAATATGGTATGAACATCACCATCATATTAAAAATTAGAGACTCACCTATTATCATTCAAGAAAAAGGTGTGGGGGGTTAACATAACAATGGCCTCCACTTTTCTCCAGAGCTCTTTGCTTCAGGACAGAATTATCAGTTCTTTATCTAATTTATAATGTGAGCTACTGGTAAAATATTTAAATCTCAGTAGAAACGAAAAGTAGATGTCATACAGCAAAATAAAATCATCAAAAATTACACCTGCAAATGGAAATATTTAGCACAATTCAAGTTCTTTACAAATCTGGATCTGAAAAACGACACACAAAAAATTGACCTGGGATAAATAATGGCATGAAAATCCAAATGTAAACAAACAAAAAAAATCCAAATATATTTTTAAATACTAATCTTTGTTGTAATATCTACTTCCTGAAGGGATTAGTCCTTTTGAAAATTATCTAAGTAAAATAAAACTGCGAGGGTGGGGGAGAGCTTTATTTAGTTGGAAAATACAGAAACTTGGGCAAATTCACTAAATTTGATTCACTTTGAGAAATAGTTTCAAATTCAATGCTGGTGCAATTCGGATGGGATTATAAAAACCGCTTCCTTGCTTCCAAATATAGTGGTTAAAATGTCTGGTCAAATTGTCCCCAAGCCCATGTGTACCATAAGCCAGTGTGGTGCTTTCTCAAACTACATTCATCTCTCAAGTTGAACTGAACTCAGCCTTTCATACAGCACTAGGAAATACAGTTTGAAAGACGTCTACCATTAAAATGTCATTCAAAAGTTTTCAAAGGAATCCTCTTACAAATCACCCTCGCATTGGCAGACACGGCTGTTATCTGTGCCTCAAAGCTTCTCTGTGGAAACTGAACTCTTCTCCCAAAGCTATCAGTGATTCTCATGATCCACCTCTTTGATATCTATTGATGGCTACAGTTATGAATTTGAAAACTAAGTCTTCAGCAGCTGCTGCTCTTGACTAGCTTACCTCAACAAGACCTTATCTTTAAATAGCAGTAACCTGCTTTCATTCACTCAGTAGGAATGTGTTTAGCGTCACCATAGGCCCCCTGTTTGTCATAAAAATGGCAAGACTAGTCAAAGTGGCCCTCTTCATTTGTATTCAAACCCAAAATTAATCACTTGAAGACCTCTTGATGAAGTAAATCTCAAACAAATAAATTTTCCTAAAGCAAACCCTATCACTATAGTTTACATGTTTAAGAAATGTTCTTATTGATTGACAGTTAATATAAATATAGGAATCAGATTGACTATCTTAGGGATACACAACTTACCATAAGGGATCATTTCGAGAAGGTTCATCAAAAAGCAATATATACAGGCCAAAGATTCCGACCACTAAAGAATGGCATGTAGACACCACCCTGGAATGAAACCAAATAGATGCGAAGACTTTAGATTCCTTCCAACCGACAAAGCATTTAACATTCTCCAAGAACCCAACTCTCTGCCATCGAGTGGATGCCGGCTCACGGCACCCCCAAGACAGACGGAACTGCCCCTGCGTTTCTGAAACTGTGATTCCTTAAGGGAAGGGAAGCCTTGTCTTTGAACTGGTGGCCCTTATGCACCACCATATTCTGGAGGCATTTAAATATAGTAGCGGAACACATCTGTTATTATAAGAGACAACTGTCATTCAACATTCTAAGGCCCACACTTTACGACAGAAGCACACCTGATAATGCGGGAGGTGGGTTTTTACAGACAGGTAGTAAATGGTAAGCTCACAACCCAGTGCCTTGTCCCCGATCCTCTTCCCGCCTCATCCCTGGAGGTCAGGTCCCCAGCACTTTAGGACATCGGCTGGCAGTGCTTCCGGATCCACTGGCCTTAACCACCTTCCTTCCTTAAACCAGAACTCAGACGGATCGTGCGATGATGTGGTAACTTGGAGCTGTCAGTTTTAAATGAACATCCACCTGCATTATCGCACTTGATTTTTGTAACAAGGCTGTGGGAAAGCTAGGACAGCTATTCTTAGTCCCTTTGAAAGTATTACGAAAGCACTTATAACTAGAGAAATTGCACAGAAAATCGGCTTTTTTAAAAACCACTCAAGTGAAAGAGAAATGTTCACAAGATGAAGGCCCAGCTTTCTTTGCTAGAAGGAATATGTTTAGATGAGAAACATCTGTTTCTACGAATGAAAAGAAAAGAAAAACCTCACTGTCACGGAGTCTGTTCCCTCACAGTGACCCTGTGGGGCAGGGTAGAACTGTGGGCTGGGCACAATTCCTCCTTCTCCCAAAGAGCGGCTGGTGGTTTCAAAGTGCTGACCTGGTGGTTGCGCAACTCAGCTCATAACCACTATGCCACCAGGGCTCCTCGGGTTCTGGGCATATAGTCTGCTCATTGGTGACTTGATGCCTGAAAGGATCCCCACACTCGGCCATGGTCAAGAGCAATGTGCAGGTTATCCGTGTGCATGCACCGACACGATGGAGTGTTTGTATCCAATTATTTAGGGTTTCTGGCATCTTGATTGAGCTTACAAGACAGGGAGTTTCTTTTTTCTCTTCATTAGACTGAAAGAGGAATGGAACAGAAAAGATCTCCCTCTTTACATTATGACCCTAAATCTTCCAAAACAACGGAAGTGTATCCACCGAAATCAAGCTTGGTGTAAAAAAAATATTGTAACGTATTTGATCTACTAGATGAGATGTTCAAATGTTATTTTAAATGCTCATGAAGCTCACTCATTTAAAGGCATTGACCAAGGAGCCTTTGTAAGGTGAAGTGTGAATAATTAATTCCACATATCCAATGTACTAGGCGGGAATAATCATGCCAAGGCCACCGGTACCAGTCCGTATTCCAATTAGTATGGAAGGGTGAAATGTAAACTCCTTGAGGATTGAATGAATCACCCCAGTGTAGTCCTGGTGACTAGTCCTACAGTCAGCTTTCTGTTGCTATTAAATATTCTGTGCGAGGGAAAAACAAAACAAAACAAAAACATCCTCCGTCGGTAGCTAGTTTTAGTGTTCAATAACCTTCAGATCAAAATGTCACCGTTCAGAAGAAATCTAACTCTACTTCTGATGTTCAAGAGGCCTCAGATGCTCCTTTCTGTTGAGATGTTCCGTAGTAAATACGATGGATTGCCACCCTCAATTGATGGAACTGGCATATAGTTCATTAAAACCAACCCTGACCCATTGGTGTGCATCCCCTCCTGCTCCTCGTATCCCTAGTTCACTGCAGAACTGCCTAGTAGGGGCTCCCAGGCTATGAATCCTTATGGAACTAGATTCCCATGTCTTTTCCCCTCGGGGTAGCTGGTGAGTTTGAACTACCGAGCTTTGTGCAAGCTAAGGGCGTAACCACTATGCTGTCCAGGGCTCCATATAATTCATTAAAGGGCAGTGAACTGTATAGTGGGCCAAACAGCTCCCGTTATAAGAACAGAAGCAGATACCCTGAGCTTATTAGTATTCTGTATTGAAAGTCTATACTTCTGGGAACCCAAGAGGAAAGCGAATTTTGGGAATAATGAGGGCAACAAATGTATAGATGTGCTTTACACAATTGATCTATGTATTGTGATGAATTGTATGAGCCTCAATAAATTGACTTAAAAAATAAATAAATGCTGAAGGGGGGGGGGAGTCTATACTTTGGCACTTCTCTGTTTATTAAGATCTTCCTACATGTGATTAGATGCAAATTCTTTAGTTTCTAAAAAGAAACACCAAAATGCTGCCTGTTGTGGTTGAATTGTGTCCCAAGCCCCACAAATATGTGTTTTAAAGCATAACCACTCTTATCCCTGTGGTTATAATCCCATCTGGGAATAGGCTGTCATTGTTATGTTAATGAGGCAGGATGAATGCGGGGCGTATTTTGCATATAAAGGAGACCGAACAAGTGAGAGGAGTTGCGATGAGGAAGAGGGACGCTCATACGCGAAACGGACCTGCCCCAGACCTGGCTCCGAACCTTCCCAGAGCCCCAATGCTGAGCACAGAAACCTAGTCTCCTGAACCAGGAGGAAATACATTTCTCTTGGTTAAACTCACTCACTTGTGGTCTTTCTGTGAAAGCAGCCCTGGGTAACTAAGATACTGCCTGAGATAAAATATGTCAATTCTTTAGAAAGAAGATGAAAAATAAATGTTTGTGCTTACAAAAATGGAAGTGGACCAAACCGCTCCAGTTATAAGAGCAGAAGCAGGTACCCCGATTGACCTAGTCTTCTGTATTTAAAAACGTCTATACACTGGCACTTCTGTTTAGCATGATCTTCCTACGTGTAAGATTCTCTAGGTTCACTGGCTCTCTAGGAAATAATTAGGGACTATTTTTAGAGGAGCTATTTAAATTAATGATCTAATCTTCCATGAATAATCTGAGTATGAATTACCAAATGAAACAATACCACTCAAAAGAGTTCAATTTTAGAGCAGTATATTTAAAAATTAGGTGTTCAGCAACACAATGGGACTTTGTAAGCTATTTGACAGCAGCTAGATTAAAAATAGTCTTGTTTGTAAAAATATAAACTTATATTTTTATAGAGAGCCTACAAGTATATATGTTCTCAGAAAAAGCGTCCACTGAGCTCAGCAATTTCTCATTGATCATCAAACTGGGAGCCCTCCAGTGTGCGTTTTCCGGAGAGGTGTTTCATCCTATCCATTTGCTGTTAGATGCCTGAGAACACCCATTTTTCAGAGACCTTGTGTTAATAGAAGGAATGTTGTGTGTTGAAGTCATCCATCCATTTTAAGACTTAAAGGCTGCATTTCAAGACACAAATGGACACTTTATTCAAAATGTAGCCAGTGCTCTTTGTTGCACTGTCCACCTCACAGGAGTTGGAAGCACCGATGAGAAAGACAGAGGCAGAAAGAACATGCCGTTTGCATAGCTTAATGAATTTTACAAAACCCCAGACGCCCTTCTCATGCAGGAACTGGATAGCGTGGCGTGGCAGTGATAAGACTAATGGATAGCATCTTAAAATTCCCTCCTTTTGTTTCGCTTTTAGCTTTGCTTCTTCTATCCTTCTACACTTTCCCTCTGTCTTTGATTTGCAGCAACCCAAGATTCAAAAACCCTACGCTAACCACAGTGAAAAAGAAAAGGAGGATTCAAAATGTAGGAGCGGAATTGCACATGCCACGCTCCCACCCTGCTCTTCTCTTTCTGTCATCCTATCCACCTTCCTGTGTCAGACTCTTACAAACAAAACAATGGTTAGTACCTTAGGGGTGTACATATGAACAACATGATGTGTGCTGTTCTGAAGACAGGCATCCTACCTCTTAATTTTTAAACTCACGTGGAGAAATGACTCTTGCGCTTAGGGCAAGAAAAACTGTTGGATATATGAACCAGACAAACCAGCGTAAAGTACACACAAAAATAATGAATGTCTTATTCACGGTATGAATGATAAAAAAATTGATGTCTGGGAAGGTGGAAACAGGCTACATGTTCCTGGATAAGCAAACAAACGTTCGTGGTACATGATAAATACAGCATCACTCAATCAAAAGGAGAGAAGTCTTGATACTATGGCGTACATGAACCTTGAGAACGTGATGCCGAGTGAAGTAAGTCAGCAACAAACAAGCACACAAAAGTATTCTATGACCCCACTTAGATGAACTATCTAGCAGGCAAGTACGTGGAGCTCAAAGTTTATGCCGGTGGGAGGGAGCACGAACGGAAAATGCAATGCGTAGGAGACACGGAGTCTTTCAAGGGTGATGGAAAACTTCGGGAACAGTTCACGGTGATGTGGTGGAACGGCATAATGGACATGTTTAATATCACTCAACTGTTGAAATGGCAAAAGGTTCTGTTACCTCTACTTTCACCACAAATTTCTTTTTCATTTCCATAGCTGCTCCAATTCACAGAGGTTTGCAAACGCACAGCAACGTGTGAGCATGCAAAATTCTTTAAAGTAGGCAAAGCAGCCCTGGGAGTTAGGGTCTGTGAGTCACTGTGGGAGATTAATGAAGCAAGGGGGGGGTGTAGTCAATTTCTTTGAAAACTCCAACAGCTTTCCACATTAGATAATTTGTTCTTTTTCCACCAGGGCTCTGAATTCCAGTAAAAAGGCCACTGACAGAGAGGTGCAGATGCACTGACGATGTCCCGTGTTCTCCCGTGTGCCCAAAGCCTATTAATTCTGCCTGTAGGTCACTTACAATGCCAACAAATGCTTTCTTTTCTTATCCCTACCCAAACAGTACTTTTAAACAGGCAACTGATGGGTGTCTAGCTTTACCCACATACTTCCCAGAAAGCTAAATAATTTTATCTCAATACCTTTCAACATCAGACTATTAATTTAATGTTTTGCACAGCATCTACTTGTCTTTCCTTTTATTCCTACGGGCAAATTTTAAAACGTGACTTTAGATTTTGTTATACCCTCAAGGAAAAAGACTCTTTTGAGATATTTTAAAGAGCTACTTTACATCACAAAACTGAATTTTATTTCTTCATTCACCAGTTGTTTTTATAGGCTTTACCTTGAGTTCCATTCGATCTTCTTTGCGTAGCTGAGCCTCGTAAAAGCTGGAGAAACTTTTGCTGAAAACCAAGAACTTAGAAAGTGGAAAAGAAGCTGAAAGACCACAAAGCTGGTAAAAAGAATGCTTAGTTTAGTGATGGCATCCATCTTTCTTCACCCTGTTAAAAGAAAGGATGGACATGAATTGCCATCTCATGACAGAGTCTATATGAACATTTTCTTAGATTTTAAAGAGCATGTAGTTCTTTCAGTCCTTTTAAAAAAATTAGCACAAATGTAAGAATACAAAGAAACTATAAGGATTTTAAACCACTTTTGTTTAACTTTATCTACTATATGTCAAGTATCTTACATTTGTATGTAATAGAGGGGGGAAATCTATTAATTTTAAGATCTTAATGTTATAAATCTTCTAATACAATTTTAATTAGCATCATGTGATTCAAAATGATTCAAGCATTAGAGTTTAACATCACGAGGAAATCTACAGTGCTGGAAATAAAGACAACCCTTTATTAAACTTTAGTAGTTAAACTTAGGAGAAATCACTCGATTTCTCTATGCCTCCATTTCCTCACCTAGGAAAGGAAAGAATTGGTTAGATCATTGCTAAGGGCCAGTCAAGTTGAAGGTTGTAAGAGAAACCACATTACCTGCAAAATCAAAACAAACAATATTACCAAATAAAACCTATTTATACAGTGGGCAATCTTTAGAGCACAACTAAACTTTTAAGAAGAATAACACAGCCTTAGAAAAGAACCATATTGTAGTTACTTCTTAATTCAGATTAAATGTTTTTCAAATGTATTCTGCAGTCACACATATTCTTGGATCAAAAGCCCTGTGGACTTTTCACCTCTAAAAGATATGTTTATACGAGAGCTTCAGGCATTAGAGCTTAGCATTAAAGCGCAGTGTGCAGCTATCCATCCACAATCCATATTTTCTATCCCTGAGCTGAACTTTAGTTCACGGCAACGTTGGAGAAATTTTTCTTTAGCCATTCAGAC